AAAAAAACCCCCCCAAGGGGGGGGGGGGGGGGGGGGGAGAGAAAGTTAGAGGAAAACGGCGTAGGTGTTTACGTATCCACTTGCGGGAAGGCGCACAGCGATTTTTTGAACCATGTGCGTGCACCCACTCCGATATCGTTCCCTTTTGGTTTGTTTTTGCTGCTTGTTTCCCGGCGGGCAGCGAGGTGTGTGAGGTACGGAAGTAATTCCCGCGCGTGTTTGCCGCGGTGGCGATAGATGAAAGAAAAAAATCCGAAGTGTCAAGTGTTTATTTTGAAGAATTGAGGGGGGCGGGTCGACATTTATCTACTATGTAGTGGCTCTGTTCGCGAGCTGTACGTAGGAGAGAGCCTTTGCGCCTTGACAACGAACATTGCACGGTCGGTGGTACAGTATGCGTGCCCCCCTGGGGACTCTCCTCCCACGTCAAGTATATTATACACCACACGTGCCTAGGCGCATGCGCCCCCCCCTCCCCCCTCCAACCTCCCGTTGCAGCGTGATTCCCGAAAAAGGGGGCTTACGACTTTGTTCCGTTTTAGTTCATCCTTGACGTGAGTGGGCGTGATGAACTAGCGCCGACCGCAACATGCGAAACACAAAGAGAAATTTGAGTTTGTTGCCTAGTTCTTGCATTTCCTTGTCCTGTAGGATAGCACATGCCTGTTTATTTCTGTTTTTTTTTTCCTGTTCGCCTTGTGCTTTCTTTTTTCGGCCGTGGTAATTACTTGTGTCTGTTTTGTACATTATTTCTATGTGATTTTTCGTCTGCTTGGGGGGATGGGGGTTACACTAAAACAGGAGGCGGCAAGCGGTGGCGTAGTCTACGGGGGGGAGGGGGGTGTAATTGATGACCGTCGCCTTTTTTCACGTTTGCTCGCCTATTGCAACTCGTATTGACCCACTGTCTGCGCGTGCCACCACCACCCCACATGTCCCTTTCGAGAAAAAGAACGGACAGGTCTAGAGGGGGGGGAGGGGAGAGGGGAGCATGGTACGTTCCCCCCCTCTAGCGGTGTTTAACCGGGGAGCCGGCGGAGGGCGGCGGGATAGAGGGAGATCGATTTAAAGTAGGCGGGGGGATTACGGTGTTTAAGCACCGGCGATGGCGGTGGCAGGCAGGGGAAGGGGCAGCCCACCGCAAATTTGACTCTGAAGAGTCTGACTGAGAAAAAAGGGCCCCCCAACTACTGCTGTAGGTGGGAACGCCGAGCGGCGTTTAGTGCGTTGCGGAATACTTCCGATCACGTGTGGGGCAGTAAGAAGGATGGAACGATGTACGATTTTCCGCTGCACAACCTCAAGATCTGCTCAGGGTAGAAATGTGCTCGTGTTTACCGAACGTGTACAAAGGACCTTGATAGAAGAGTAGTTTGGGATGCACAACTTGGAAGTTAGTAACATCCATCCTTCGAATCTCGTCGTTGCTCGGGTGTTGATTCTTGTCTCGTTGCGCGACAATGATTTTTGGCTCGAAGGCACTGTTTGCTTCTCCCGAGTTGTGAAGGGAGCCGGCGATCATGCGCGCAAAATTCCATCTGGCATCATCTGGCATAATGCTCGAAACCGGCACGACGATAGTGATGATGAAATTTTGGGATGGATCACGAAGAACAAACTTGCGAGAAAGGTAATCGGATCGAATGATCATGATGTACAAAAGTCACAAGACACATGTGTGGATATGCGCCGGTCATGACAACGCCGACAACCGCTTAATCACCGTGCACGCCCACACAAAACACCACACTGGGTCCTGAAGGGCGTCTTGAGTCTTGGTACCCCTCCACCAGGGAAGAGAGTTGTACAACAAGCGACTCAGACACGTTCGCTCGTCGGTGACACAAGTAACACGGCCCTCAGGCGATTGATGCTTCGTTGAGTGTACAGCGGAGAAAAAATCACCGAAAACCACATCATGTCTCAAATAATTTTCTTCCAAGTGCGCACCGCTCGCCCCCCCTCAGCGCCGACAAAACGACGCACGACGTCACATTCGCAGCCCGTCGCTACCGCTAACCTCGTTGGTCGTATTAAAGCCAGGCACAATAATACCTTGAGCAAGGCGCTGACCACGCAACGGAATTTTCCTAAGCGCGCAGCGCGCAGCGCGAGCCTGCCCCGCGTCCCAAATCTGTTACGGAACACACGCACGAAACACCTGAAACCGGATCCAACTATTATGCTGCGAAAAGAGCAAAATCCTGATGGTACATTGAAGGCACGCCGATAACAAAGGCACGCCGATAACAACAGAAGTTTCGGTGGCACAGCAAAGGAAGCCACTTCAAAGAGTACCACCTTCCGTTAGTGCATATGTGCCTGTCTTCGGCTGACGCACGCAAGATAAGACGCAACACTAGATAGCACACGTCATTCTTGCACTTTTCTGAAAAAAAAAATCGACCACGCGAGTGATAACTATGGTGTAGCAGTCACCGACAGCGCAATACTTCATTACTCGTGACGTTTCCAACACAGACGACAACAAATAAAAAAATCAAACTGTGAACAATACACTACAAGACACGAAGAACGTAAAAAAAAAAAAAAGGAAGGCGAGCAAAGAAAAACAAAGTATGGGAGAGGGCGACAGCGAAACATCCAACAAAGCTCTCATCAGTAGAGACAAAACAAAACACACGGTTGCGCCGCCAGCCGAAATCAACCAGTCCCTTAAACGCATTATTAGACACATTGCTCACTCTCCTCCACGCCCCCAATAGTCTACCTGGCTACCAAGACATGGATGACATTCACGTCCAGACCGCGGCCGTAGCAAGGGGCATCTGCCCTTCCAAGGTTCCGCGACGAACGGCTGCCGTGCACGATGGCAGTAGTAAACACAACACACCAGAGGCGATACATACGCCCTGCAATATACCCTCTCGCCCCCCTCTCAGCCTCCACGCGAGCCAGACTCGAAATGCCCAAAATGGGGTCGGTCGAATCAAATGCGCATGATCCGTCCGCCAAGAGTAGCATGGACATGGACAAGACTATATTTCTTGCCGAAACTCAAACGAGGGGGCGCCGCAGACCACAACCACCACCAGCCGGAGGCAGGTAGGTGTGGGTCCCATCACAAAAGGCCGCTCGCTCGCTCGCTCGTGTTTCCCGCGCGGAGCCAGCCAGCCAGCCAGCCACGAAACCAAACAGAAAATGCACAACACTCTGCACTAGAGCCACTTCCCCCTATACCAGAACTGGTGATACACGACCACGTCCCCCGCACTCCCCAAGTCTAGATACCGCGACACTTGACGCCATAACGGCTGCCCACCCCGGCTTGTATCTACCCAAGGTCTCTTCACGCTACCATGTCCTCTCCCAACACCTGGGAGGAGACAAGGGGAGCACCAGCACGAGCGAAAAAAGACGCGAGAGTAAGAAATGCAGGTGGAGAGCTCTGGGTGTTGCTTTGAGTTCAAACTGGATTGAAGTCAATTATGCCGTTATCGAATAAGCAGCAAGCGGCGAGCAAGGATACCGGTGGTCAAACAACAAGACAACACCCTCACAGTGCGCAAGACGTAGAGCAAACAGTACATGAAAAACGTGAAAATAGAACGTAGGAGATAAAAACTGCCCAAGCGCCATCGTACGTCAGTCTCTGTGCTCACGTGTATCCCACCTTTGCGAAAAAACAAAGGCTAGCACAAAAAAAAGAGAAGGCGATCACACACACACACACAAAACACTCACCCAACAATGGGGCCAAGCACACAACACACACACAAAAAAAAGAAAGAAAAAAAAATACAAAACAAAACAAGTGAACCACTTACCGAACAGTGGGGCCACGCAAAGTTGTCGTAAACGTACGGCAGGTCCGACTGGTCCGGCCGAAGAAGGCCGTAGAGCTCCATGTTGGTGTAGTATCTCTTGGCCGACGGCGAGGCTGCGCTGTCCTCCTCCTCCTCCGCGTGCTCGTCATCCCAGTCCGGGAACATCCCATGGAACGGCTGGAGGTCAGCCGGGTTGTGGCACACACAATCGTGGAACGAGTCCCACGTCTCGTTGAACTCCTCCGAGCCCAAGCGTTTGAGGTGCCACAACCTGTCGTCGTCGAAGCGTGTTTGGGGGGTTTCGTGGGGGTCGATAAGTCGGGAGGGGGGGGGGGGGGTAAGTGCTCGTCGAATCCGGACACACAGTAGGGGGGACTACCTACACCACGACCACCCTCTCTCGCCGTCGCTCGCGCACCTGTCGACGCTGGGGTGCAGCACCCAGAACGTGATGTCGTTCGTGCTGGTGGCCTGGAACATGGTGCCGATGTGTCCCGGGGAGCACAGCAGGTACATGAGCTGCTGGTAGATCTGGGTGCTCTCCTCCTCGGAGTAGCCCGGCAGGGTGTACAACACGTCGCCCTGAGTGTGTGCGCGCGCCAAAAGTAAAAATAAACGCCGTTATTGGCATCGAACCGCGCCGACGTAACCGGTTTACGATGCATACGGGCTCGATGGATGTTGAGCGGCTTCCTGGGAATCGCGTGTCTACTTTCATGAAAGCGTGTGAAGCTTGCATGAAATTCACCAGTATCGACTTCCATCGAAAAGTTTTGCCCGCTGTTTCTCTGCTCTCTCCTCTCCGAGAAAGACTTTTCGCTCGGAGAAATGAGTTCGGGTAAGTTAGATTCTCATGGACCGCCAGCAGCAACCGCACCACCGGCCGATTATGTGATTGTACTGATCGAGGAGACGGTACCGGGACAACACTACTGCTGAATAATGTGAACACGCCCTGCTCGAGCCAGCCTTGTAGTAAACTCCACCGCGTGGCTACATATCCGCTAAAAAAAAAACCAGAATCATACAGGCAACGCCGACGATACTCTTCGGGTTGATGTATTACAAACTGCGGATAGAGATGGGTTTGTCGTGTTTTGTTACAATCATAAAAATGAAAAGCAAAAAAAGGAATCAGTGGGTATTTTTCGACCAAAACGAAACGAAACAAAAAAAAACCGTCACAACGCGAACAGAAAAAAACTCACGTTTTCGTCCTTGAAAGACGAGATGAGCTCCCCCGTGGAGTCGTAGTACGAGACCGAGTCCAACACCCCGGACTCCTGCAGCACCTGCGCCGCCGAGCGGCTGCCGATGGCCCCGGCGTCGCACTGACACTGGCAGTCCTCCCAGGGGGTGTCCATGGAACAGGTGTCCGGGCAGTCCAAGAAACCCGATCGCCAAAGCTCCTTGCTGAGCGCCTGTTTTCCGAGCGGGTGAACGAATCAGGATCGCGGTGGGGAGGGGGGGTTCGGGTTGTGTGTGAGAGTATTTGTGGGGGTGGGGTACTCATGTAAACGCATCATGCCGTGGTCGGTGGACCACAGACCTCGCATCCCTACCACGCCGGGACGGAGAGCGATATGCACGGTTTTCGCCGGCGCAGGCTCTATATGCCATATATGAGGATATTTATTGGTTGCCGTTTCACGCCCTTTTTGTACATGTTTTTACGACCCCCTACTAGGCGGGGCACGGTGTTTCCATTCTGACTACTTTCGCTTGCCTGTATCTCGTGGGCGAAGGTCATGACGCTGTCGTCTTGCTCCTCATCGAGTTCCTTTGCCTCGTCGCCGAAGTAGTGATTCCACGAACCTCCCACCGTCTCGTGGATGTGCCCGTGCGCCGCGGCGTTCAGGACCATGGAAAAGCTCATCCTGTACATCACACGTATCATCAACATAAAAACAATGTTACAGGCGCGGATAGCGAGGAAGGGACGAGGGTCAGAACGTGTGTCGTCGTGAACAGCAGAGAGGTGAGAGAGGAAACGGAAGAGGTAAAGAACCAACCGCAGTTTTCCAATCACGATGCGACAGCAGTAGCAATCATTCTCCGCGTTGGTGTGAAGGCAAGGCAACCACGTTGTACTTGAATAAAAAAACAAGACTAACGCTACTAAACTACAACACAACAAACCCACCAGTCCTGATGTCTGAGGGCGTGGCTGTACTCGAAGCAACCGGAGGGCTTGAGGTTATTGAAGAATCCGTAGATCATCGAACTCCTCGTCATGAAGGGCGAGGGATCATTGTTCCACGGGGACCGCAGGACGCCGTACGAGTTGTAGACCTTGGAGAACTCCTTGGCGTCGGCCATGGCGGGGACGTACCCAAACCGCCCCTTGGTCGGGGTGTGGAGGTCCTGGTGGTTGTTGTCGTCGTCGTCATCATCATCATCGCCGATCGTTCGAACGGGAGGAAAACAAAAAAAAAAGGTGTTAGATTGGAGGTCGCTCGTCCAACACATCTTCCCAAAAACCAAAATTAAAAGTAACAATGACCGCATCACCAGAAAAATCCAAACATCCGATAGTAGGAACACCATACCAGCATTTTTCAAACATTAGAAGTTGCCCCCTTATGTTCGAAGCAAGTACACATGAAAACATTCTTTCTCCGAGTTTTTTTTTTCCTGCGGGGACGTGTGCGGGTTTTTCGTTTTCTAACGTCTCTGCCCTTGCATAAAAGTCTCTTTCCTCTTGCTGAACCCATCTCTCCCTCTGTCTCTGCTTATCTCTAGATATCTCCCCCACTCTCTCCGTCTCTCTGTCTCACGTTATCAGGGGACGCCGCGCCGAACCAGTCATCCGCGAAAACGCCGCTGGAGCGGAAATCCGATGACCCGAAGAAGGTGCTCTCGAGGGTGAAGTCCCAGTACGGCACCGTCACGGCCGGGTTGATCGCCTGCAAGGACTGCTCGAACATGAGCGTCAGGGCCATGTGAGACGTCACGAAGCCGGCTCCCTGGTGCCAGTGGTCGCAGTCTTTCGTGCCGCCTGATGTCGTTTTTTGGCGAAGGCGAAAAGTGGACGGGTGTTGGTTGGGATGGATATAGACGGGG